TCCATTTTTGGGAATAACTGAAATCATGTTTTGAAATATGCAGGGTAAAATGATCCCACCAACTCTTTAAACAAGGCAGCCCTTTCAAAACCTGGTATTCTTTACCAAAGGCCTATAATTTTCTTCGCTTCACCAACAAAAGATAATCAACAATATTTTCTAACTCAGAATATGAAGAAATCAATGCTAAAAAAAAAAAATAAAAAGGATAAGGTTCAACTGATATCTGGTCCCATCTCCCCAATAGATAAACAGAGTTCTATCTTATTTTTATGCTCAAAAGCAAGAGGCTGGTCTTAGAGCCTGCTGTTTCTCATGTTGTTTTAAAAACATAGCATGATATAAGTTAATCAAAATGCTAGAATAAAATGCACATGATATCAGAGCTAGCCTTTTAACATAAGATAACATGAAAAATTTGGTGTGTCTATACAACAGAGACGTGGAAAAAGTAACTCCAATACCCTCAACTAAATAAGTCATATTTCTACAATACATTCTGTTACTTTTCTCTATTTTTCTCTAAAGCACACATTCATCTCTCACACACGTGCACCCAATGTATATTTTTGCATGTGTGTAAAAACACAGACATATACATGCACACAAGTAATTTAATTCTATTTTTAAGTCACAGTGGGAATTCCTTAGTGAGGAGGGATAAAAAGATTCCTGAATAAGACACTGAGAACATCTAGATTTATTATTTCTCTATTTTACTTCCCAACTTACAGGATCAACTGTAAATAAAGAATAAATCCATAGGAAATAAAAGAGGTGTTAAAAACTTAGTTTACAAATTCCAGCTACAGTAGTTGGGAATTTTACGTGATCTACATATTTCTATTTACCCTGTAACTAAGCTTCTAGCCATCTTAAGTGTAAACCACAGATCATTTACTAAAGAAACATGACTCTCAACGGTTCTATGAGCAGTAATAAATGGTCTAAAGGTGTTCTATATTTTGAGGCCCCAGGATATCCTTTTATTTTATATCTGCAAGGTAGCAAAGGATAGCTATACACCTTGACACGGCGGAGATCCAGTGTAAAAAGGTGCTTCACTAGTTTGTTTTGTCAAAAAAAAAAAAAAGCTCATATATAATTTTTTAGCTATTAAACACATAGGCAACATAACTCATTACACTCAATACAGCTTTAGTATAAAACTTATAATTTATGAGGTGATGTTAATAGCATAAATTAATATACCTTTTCTCTTAAAATCTACAATAAGTTTTCTGAAAGCTCATTGGGGAAGGAGATTTTTAAATAAAAGTTTTAAAGCTGTGCATGATGGGAAAGGATTCTGAATGCTGAAGCTGAGATGAGAGGCTGAAGGAGAAAGGAAAAAGATCCTATGCAAGACACTGTGGGCTATGAAACCAAATGTTCTCTCTTTCTTGCGCTCTCTTCAATGATGAGTCACCTTTAGTTTCTTGAAAACTATTTTCTTATTTTAAAATCTGCCCTAATTTCCACAAGGAATCCCTGAGACATACTCAACACTATACAGTGAAAAGAATGATCACTGTGAGAGGGACTGATTCAGCCCTTCCAAGCAGATGAAGACTGTGCCCCCACTAATCTGCTGGCACCCACTGGGCCTGAGTGAGGCAGGTGGAATCACTTCAGGGCAAATCAGTCCATTCCCCAAGCGAAAGCAACAGTGTGGCCTTTAGCTGCACTGGAGCCTACTGCACTGCATGTTGAAATTTTTTCCAAGGGGAACTTTGGGTGCATACAGAGCTTGCTTCAGTGGTCCCCAGCTTAACAGAACAAACAGAACAGGAAACAAGTGAGAGAAGAGGATCTGTTACTCTTGGGCCAGGACCGGTACAGACCCCCGGGGGTGAGGGGCACTCTTCGGGACCGGGGCGGGCTGCGCAAGCAGGCGGGAGGGAAATGGAAGGAAGCCTGGCCTGCCCTGCCCTGCAGAGCTAAGAGTTACAGGTTTTCTTATTAGATTGCTTTGCAGACTACTTTACATCCCCCATAACTCTGCCATTGAAAGGAACCCAAAATTCCCAAGATTCAGGAACCTAAGGTAAAGAAAGTCATAGCAAATCTGCGCTCTCTCTGAGGCCACATTTCCTTTTATTAGCTCTGTATCACAGTGCAGAGAGAGGAAAGTTAACAATAGAGCTGAAGTGAAACGAGAATTTTTGCTATTTGGAAATAAGGCTCTCTAAATTTGACCCACAATTTTTGCATTAATGATACATAATTATTCATTTATGTTTTGTTTTCTTTCTTAACTCACTGGTCAAGGGAAATGAATATGTTCTTTACTGGTATTTTATTACAAATCTTTTGAAAGATAGCATTTAAAATCTTACTTTCATCTACTAAACATGGATTTTGGATCTCTCCAGAACATACTGGAAATCTTATGAAGTTCAAGATACTAAGAAGTCACTAAATTGTTTTACCTTTCTATAGAATGCCAGTGAAGATTCAATTATTTTCAATGTACTGAGAGATGGAAAAAAAAAAAATCTATGTTCTATCATATGTATATTCCCATCCCTCACCCCCACCCCCAAGAAATATAGGTCTTGTCAGGAAAAAATTTCTGGAGTGATGTAAATGTTGGTGATGAAAGAGGTACAAATGAAGATTGTTTGATAGGACTACCATTTTCTTTCTAGAAATATTTTAAATTGCCTCAATAAAATAGAGGTCTGTTGACCATTTAGACCACTAAACATTATTCTATGTATACCAGGTTAAAAATAGAATTTAATTGAATGCTAAGAGAAGGCTAAAAAGAAAAGGATGAAGAAAATGGAAACACCTAAAAAATTTTTTAATGAATTTTCAATCTATTAAATGATTAGTTTAGTGTTATTAATCGGCTCATCTTTTTACAATACCAATCCGCAACAACCTTTTGAATTAACTTGGAGAAAAGGCGGCTGCCTCACACAAACATCGCTGATGCAGCCTACCAACCACCACCAGCATCTCCACGCCCCAAACTCACGAGAGGGACGACAGGGATACTTGGAGAGCAAGGATCTGGGGACTGGCCACATGGGGCTCCCTACATATGCGCAAACTCCAGCGCCAACTGATAAAAACTGAATGGGACAGGTCAACAGAAATAGAAATTCTTACACCCAAGAAAATTGTATTGATAGGGTATATCGCAGACACCGTTTCTTTCCGAATCAAAGAACTGTCTTTGCTCCTCTGGGTTGCGATCATGTATTGAGAACGATGAAGAAAAGCTTTAGTGTTAGTCACAGAAAATGATGATTCCTAACTTGCAGTTGAGAGATTGGGCTTATTTAAGAAATAATTCTTATAAATAATTATTTGGCAAAGATAAAGTATTAGCTTTCTTTAGCCTGAAGCCACTCAAGACATTAATAAGAAAAAAATACTTCCAACTTTATCTCCAAGCCTAGTATTTGCTTCTCATTAAATTACCTTTTCATGGAGGGACGCTAGACACACCACGCTGCCTGCCAACATGAAATTGCTCAGGAAGGAATTTATAAAGCAGTCGTATCTCACATGGTAGGTTACCAGAGAATATGATCCTCCACCGTGTAAGCTACGTGATGATAATTAGAAAATTTTTTCATTGCATAGTCTGTTACTTGGTGGGTAAAGTGTAATTGCTATTAACTATTGTGAATTGTTTACTAACTACATAACCTACCCAGATGTGCAAATTGCTAAGCCATTTTTAACAGAGGAAAAAACAATGTCTTAAGTACTTTAATTAAAATAATATTAACAATTAGATAAAGGAGAGAAAACACATCTTGTCTTCGGAGGCTATAGATCAGAGCCGATGAATATCATACATTAGAATGGAATTGAGATTTTCAGAACACAGAATGTATCCATTAACTGCAGCAACTCTGTAAATTAAATCACATTAACAATCTAACTGGCCTTTATAAATGGTCCCAAAAAAACTGGAGAAAGGGTGAACCTTCTTTGCCACTTCTTCTCATGAGTTTAATACTAGAATAAAAGCTAGCTTCCACCTAATTAGGACCTTATATAAAATTTGTTTGATTCCAGTATTGCCTTATTATAGCGTAAGTGCTATTTTAAAAGACACTAATTTTCATATTTCTGGAGTAAAAGACACTTCATTCCTTTCTCTACATATTAATAGCACACCTATTACTAATAGACTAGAACTGCTCCATTAGCTACAAGACAAACATAACGTCTATCTGGGTTCACAGGTGGTGTTCTCTCTTCCGAAAAAGGGCTCAAGAAACAGCAAGCGCAAAGCAAATCACAAGCTTGGCTATTTGTTTGGAAGTCAATGAAATGAGAGGGGAAACAAAGTATATAAACTAATTCCTCAAGCCTACACTGGTACTGTCTATGGGATGCCCTTTCTTCGGCTTTTATCATGGGCATCTTAACAAAAATGAATTTACTCAAAGTTTTTGGTGTGAAGCTATAACTGGCAACATTCCTGATCATTTCTTGCCTCCTTACTAGAAAGCAGAAAAGGGCTTTTAAATGCACATAAAACAGAAAATTGCAAACAATAAAATGTGCAACTTACTGCAAACTCAGTTTTGATAACTGAAGAATTTTAAGCAGCTACCACGAGGGACAAATAGCCAGAAAAGTTCAAAATGACTACCGTGACTTTCCCTTTGCTGTCAAAAAAAGGCTGATAAGAAAGTCAAGCGCTGCTCTGCTACAATCTCTAATTAGTACACAATGGAGACTAAATCATATTGCTGGGAGTGGAGTTATTATAATGGGGTGTGAAAAGGGTTTAGCAAACTGACACTTTTGAGCAGAAGTAACTACTCAATCATTCCATTACAGTACGTTAAAATAAAAAAGCTTACTAACATAGGTTCACAGGTGAGAAATACTCAGTTGACCTGTTCTCACCATTCAGAATAGAAATTTATGGTGATACCAAATATAATTTTGCTTTGTGACATAATTTATAATTTAGAAATTTCTCAATCTGCAAAAAAGGCAAAGCTATTAAAAATAAATCTTCCAATCAATTATCATGATTTTAAAAAAAACTAAATATATTACAAACATATTTTTGGCCCACAAAAAGAAACTTCAATAAATACAAAATAGGGCATATAATGGTTTCATACAGTCATGTGACCCTTCCCCTCCATAATCTCAGTCACGTAATGTCTGCACAATGCCTGCTGATCACCATCATTCCTTTAAAAAGCAGAGAAAGAAAAGCTTTCAAAAGAAGGGATTGGTTAAAAGTAGCATGGCATAAAGAGAATACATATGGGAAGTAGGAAAATACATCCAAATCTTTACTTATTGAAAAGTAATTAAGATCAAATATTCCCTGACAAATGAAACATTATATCACATCATTAATAGATATGTTCTCTCTACCTCATCTTTTAAAATATATATGTAAATTAGACTAGACTCAGGTATTTATACCCAATGGTTATCTCAGGGGACAGTGAAACGTCTCAGCGAAAGCAGAAGACAGATGCCTTTAAAATCTAGTTCCGCCCTTCTGGGGGAGGGGAGAGGGCCGGGGAGAAGGCAGGTAAAAAGAAAACTCACATATTCATATTCATTTCGTAGTCACCAATTTACTAAACTACCCAGTATGATTTTTAAGCCTAAAATCTTGGTACTTTAAGACAACTTCCCAAAACTTAAAACTTAAGCACTTAAATTATTTTAAAAGTACCAAAGGATGGGTAAAATTTATGTCTTATTTCCATAATCTGTTTTGAAAAAAAGCTTTAAATGTGTATCCTTCAGATAGTACATATCACTTCACAACTGGTACATTGATTCTACAAGTGTCTTCAACATTTTACAAATCTTACCAAAGAAGCACTACTGTAAACATGAAAAATTCAAAAGCAAAAGACGGATCAAAGAGTTCACAGATGCCATCTTTCCAAATCTATCTGACCTATCCTGCTTTTCACATAGAAATATTTTCTTTAATTACATCTTGCAAATGTATTCCAAGACAGAGGGATTAGGAACAAATGCATGTCTAAAAAGGCAATGCAACCAGCAGACCTCAGTATCTCAGCAACCCCGCAGTCACTCCAGGCAAGCTTTTCACGACATCCCCACAGCACTGACGTGAATTTACCTTCTTTGTGTTCCTGGCTAGCTCAGCAGAAAAGGGTTGTGCTATTCATGTGATCAGACCACCACCCTCGCTATTCAGGAAACATAGTTAACTCAGTGGGAAAGAATGACCAACTTTATTAGGGTTGTGAGATGTGGGAAAGAAGTAAGAGCCTTATATACTTATGGGCGGGGGTGGGGAGAAAAGAAAAAACAATGGGACAGCTGCTTCCTGCCCTGCACAAAAACACACGTGTGGGCGCACACATACACGTAGGCAGTCAAAAGACTAATTTTTTCTTTTTAATTAAACATGATCACAATTAGGAATGGAATCCTGGCTTCACGTGGTATTTAGCAGTTGGTGCTAAGTCAGAGCCTTGATCTGCCTCTACACACCATTGGCTACGTCTTACACACAGGGACTCGATGAATTGGATCGTCCTATCTGGAACCACCTATGTAAAGACCTGGTAATAAAATGGAAAGCATTGATCTGAATTCTAGGAAATAGTAAAGGGCACTGGTAATCTGAGGTATCTTCCACTTCTAGGACTTGCTGCTGAAAGTCAATTCTATGCAGTCACTGTGCTGAGCCACTAAGGAAACCATGGGGGAGAGTGAACCTGCCAGGAGGGAATGAGCACCAGTGCACGGAGCACATGTGAACACTGAAGCAAGGTCCACTGCCGGGCGACTTGTTTAACTGGAAAAGGGACTTCCCCTCGAGCCCCCATCTGTTATTTTTAAAATCTTCTTTAGGAAAAGGGGAAGGGGGCAATAAGGAGGAAACAAAGATAGAAAACACCAGGTTCCCCACCTGCCTGCAAACACACAGACACGCTCAGTTGGGGGAGGTAAAGGGAGAGGATGCATTATTGGTACTTGTAGCTGTGGCACCTGTTACTGTGAAGCCTGTAGGAGGGGCTATAGAACTGTGGCTGGGCTGCAGGTCCTTGGGAATGCCACTGTGAGAACTCAGCTGGTGGCCGAAGGCTGCGCTGAACTGAGGGAGTTGCTGCTTGGGAGAGGTGGAGGCCATTAGTTCAGCAGAAGGCCCCATGCCACTGAAGCTGGTCTGCGGCAGCCCCGGAAGAACACTGGAGCTGCTGGGGGTCACGGTGGCGAAGGCAGGCTGTGTGGTCTCTGAGTTCGAAGTGGTGGGTGGCGTGGATAGGGAAGTGGAAAGAAGATGTCCATCTGCGTCGAGAAGGTTGCTAAATGGAGAGGGATCTCCAAGGTTGACAGGGAGATTGCCCCAATGAGTTCTGGGGTTGACGACTCCTCCAAGTGGCACCTCAAGTTGGGGTGGGAGCAAGTGCTGTGCCATGATGGGCATCTCTGCTGAAAAGGTAGCTGCCATATTATCACCAGAGTAAGATGTTGTGTGGGGAGAGGTGATATGGTCACTATAGGGAGACGGCACGTGCTCACTATCATAATGGCTTCCATGGGGCGAGGAGTGTGAATGATCACTGCTGTATTGCTGTCGTGAGGTGATTAGGTCATCTGCCTTGCTCAGCAGCTGGGCAGGATGTGGCCTCTGGGAGGCATGGCTGCCATCATGAAGTCCATGAAACTGTCCTGGGAAGGCTCTCTCCCCAAGTGCACTCTGGCTGATCAGAGTGGCAGAAGTAAGGCCGACGTTGGCTGGGGCAGAGAACTGCCCCTGGATCTGCCCTGCCAGGGGTGTAGGTGGGTTAGACAAGGTAGCAGAACGGAGCAGGTTCTCATCCAGCTCTAGACTAGAAAAATTATCATGGACCATGCGCCCGTTCAACAGCTCCCCTAGGTCCGTGTTTACTTCTCGGCTCAAGGACTGAATTCCTGAAGCTCCAGTACCTGTGGAGAACACCCCCATTCCTCTATCTGACAACTCCTGGACTGGCACACCATCTGACTGGGTAAGTACCCCAATGGTACTCAGGCACTCGAGAGAAGTTACAGCCTGCAAGGCCCGTTCAAGTTCCTCGGCCTCTTCGGTCGTTGGGAGGAGGTCTCCGTTCTTTCCTGAGTAAACAAAAGCCACCAAGAATCAGCAGAGCTTTTACATGTCCCGTACTATGAAAACCACACATCTGAATTACCCCCAGCAACATTCTCTGAAAGGGAGGCCCTGTTGAGAAGAGAAATTTGCAAGGATTGGGTTGGAAGGAAACAGTGAAACATTAACCTGCAGGACAGGTCCGAAATGTCAAGTTGTCCCGGGGCTTATATCACACCTTCAGTTTATTTATAAATAAACTCTCTTGTCAAAGTGTTAGGAAGGAGACTTGGCTTTGAGTGGTGAACACAAAATACAACATACACATGAGATGTATTATAGAACTGTGCACCTAAAACCTAAACAATTTTATTAACCAATGTCACCCCAATAAATCTGAGTTTTAAAAGTGTTCAATTCTTGGGGATTCGAAGTACTACCAATTTAAAACTCACGGTGATTATGTGAATATACATGTTTTTACCTCAAGTTGTATTAAAGCCATTAAAATAAAAACTATCCCTATCAATTTGGATTTGAGACAAAGGCTGCGTAGGGGTAGTCCACAGAGTTCTCCTGCCCTCAGACTCTTCCAGCTGGAGGGGCAGCTGTGGAGACTAGGATACAAAAGTTCACGCGTGCATTTTAGCACAAAACCGAGGCACTCAGTTCGTTTCATAGGTGGTCTTTTATAATGCTTCTGCACTGCCTTCTAATACTTCCCTCTCATTCTTCATTTTTCTCACATTTCTAACTAGTTTTTGTAAAATGGAAGCCCATTGGCCCACACTGACTTCCAATATTTAAAAAAATCTATTGAAACTCGATTAATCACCACAAAAATATCCAGGTTTTAACAGTGAAAAGAACACTCTGAGGGTATAAAGGATTTCCTATCAAAGCACCAGAGAACTGGTGGGACTGAGCACACTGTTTTGGAAAAGTACACCTTAACTGAAGCACAGGGCAGGGGATTAAAATCAGGACAAGTTCTAAAAAGCTTCAACAAGCTCAAGTGTGAAATGTCTTTGCTTTGCTCAAAAATAGACTCAAGTAAAATGACTCATTTTAAAAGAATGAAGTTATGAACCTAGCTATCAAATAGCACAATCCTTACCTTCTGAAAAGGGTAAATTAGCCTATGAAACATCATATTTTTAATCTACAGTAAAATACATTATATGTGAGGAGGGATATTTCAAACACATCTCAAAACTCTATTTTGCGCCCTGACTGGCGTGGCTCAGTGGGTTGGGTATTGTCCCTCAAAGCGAACGGTTGCCACTTCAATTCCCAGCCAGAGCACATGCCTGGGTTGTGGGCCAGGTCCACAGTTCCCGGCGTTTGAGAGGCAACTGACTGGCAACTGATTGATGTGTCTCTTGCACATCTATGTTTCTCTCCCTCTTTTCTCCCTCCTTTCCCCTCTCTAAAAATAAATAAAATCTTATCAACCCTATTTTCCTTTTTAAGAACTCATTTTAAAATCCAGTTTCCTGAATAACAATATTGACCATACCTTCAAAAAAATCAAAATCCTGTAAGTCGTCAGGTAGCCGTGGCAGGACGTCTGAGAAGTCCTCCTGGTTCAATTCCAAGTCGTGTGGAATGTCAGTGATCTCATTGGCAATGTCATCCGGCAACTCATCAGCACTCAGCTCTGGCGTGGACGAGCTCCTGGGGAAGATGACATGGTTGGCCCCACCACTCCCTTTTACCTTCACGCCAGCGTCACCGAGACAAGTTCCTCAAACAAGAAAATGGGAAATCCTAACTCGAAATGTCTCCTTTCCTACTTTAAGAGAAGGAAATTTGAAAGCAAAAAGACCTCACCATACGCAACCATGTATTTCTACACTCTTTACCCAGGTATTGACACAACCATTTTTAACTTCAAATCAGTATAATGAATTAAGTTTGGTGTATCAAGTGTGTCTTAAATACTTTAAACAGAAAAAACTAAAATGTATAGCTGAAACAGAAGCCTCATTCATCTGGGCAAAAATGCACACCCCTGCCAAAACTAATAATACATCCGATTTCTGATGGAATACTTCCACTGGGACTTATATGATATTTCTGTAAAATAGAAAAATCTGAGAATAGACAATTAAATTTTCAATTCCAACATCTGCTCTCTGTTTTAATCAAAAGCTTTATTTCTGATCTAACACAGATATTTGGTAAAAATTGTCCTGAAAACTAAAGAGTTTAGGCTGGTATACAAAATGGTGTATTTGTAGCCTGGTTCCAACACCAGGACAGTAAATGAGACCAGATGTCCCGAGGACAACCAGGACGTGTAAAGGGGATGCAAACTCGGGCGCTGTCACTGACCGGATCTGGGAGGGCTCCACTGGCAGTGAGACGCTGGTGGGCATGCTGAGGTTCCCTTGGGGGACTGCGGGGGGGATGGGTTTTTGGGGTCGACGAGGTCCACGCCTTCGCTTCTTCTTGTGTTTTTTGGTAAGTGCAGGAGGCTTGGTTTTTTTCCTGGGCTTCCTCTGCTGCTGGTGCTGAACTTTACGGGAGCTATCTCCTCTCAAGAAATTATCCTATGAAATGAATAAATGGGTATTTTTGAACTGAGGTTACCCGGGAAAAACCTAACAGCTACCTAAAAAAATACTTACGGCTTTTAATATTTTATATAATGCCTAAAACATACTGAATACCTAAAACTATGTATAACAATAAATAAATGAATAGAAACTCATTTTTTATTTAATTCAAATCCATTCAATATATATCGTTTATCCTACATTTAAAGACAATGTGATGGGAGCTGCAGTTTGGGTAAACTTACTCTCCCTTGGGAAAACATAAATACAAGTATAATTAAATATGGTAAAAAGAAAATTGTGCAGTACTGATATAAACACCTTCTTTGGGTACACAAAAGAAAACAATGATTATTAGTTTTGCTGGATTAAAGGATAAGTAAAATTTTACATCGTTGAGATCAAGGGAAAGCTCATTCTAGGCTAAAGAAAATGGCATCAACCAGACAAAAAGAACAGCAAATAAATGATGTTTGACTAGTACCTGGGGTATAACTGAGCATGAAATATAAATGTAAGCTATAAAGAAGTTTGGTACCAGATCATGTATGACTTTGAATACCCCATTTAAGATTTTAAACTTATAGTCACTGGAGAATGGTTTTTGATGAGAGGAATAGAATGACTTGACAAAGGTTTAAAAGGGTTAATGCCATGGTAAGCAATGTGAAGGGATAGCTAGGTGAATGGAGGCAACAGTTCCAATCAGCAGGCTATTTCTATAGTCAATACAGGATAAATAGCTAAAGACAGAATGAGTAGAATGGAAACGCAAGGGCTTGACAAGGCAGAATTCTCATGATTTGGCAGGTTCTTGGATGCGGTGAGGATGGTGGGAAAATAAAACTCTAAAATGTCTCTAGGGTGACTGTTAGATAATGATACCATTAGCTGGGATAGAGAACACAGCAGAATAAACAGATTTAGAAAAAAAGTTGGAGAATCCGACTTGGCTCACACACATGTTGAGGTATGAGATGTCTCAGAGGCAGGAGAAAGCTGTGTCTGGTGCAGAGAAAGAGAAATGGATATATAGACCTGGAAATCATGACAGTAAAAGTCCTTAAAGTACCTGACATCGGCCAGGGAGACCAGGTAAAGAGAGCAAACAATGAGGATGCAGCTTTATAAAACTGCTGCAATTAACCTCTGGTCAAAATGGAGGGTAGGTAGACACACTTCGCCTCCTCATGCAACCACAAAAAGGAATTACAACTAAATCTCAAAATGAGTAACACCCAGAACTGTCAAAAAATAGAACGGTATGGAAGCCCAATAACCAAGGATTTAAAGAAGCCACATTCATCCAGACGTGTAGGAGGGGCGGAGATGTGGAAACGGCAGAGAGGTGAGGAAGCGGTGCGGTGCAGGGTCAGTGGCGGTGGAAGATCCGGCACAAGCAGTCCTACACTCACAAGTGGTGGAAAAGATCGCTAGGGATACAGTGGGAGCCAGCATCCCAGCCTCAGGCCAGACTGCACAGCCCAGGGTCCCAGCGCCAGGAAGATAAATCTGGCTGTAAAAACCAGTAGAAGTTGGGGTAGGAAGAAAGTGCCGGATTTTCAGCAAACTCCATTAGACTTAAAGTAAGGTCTTCAAACACATGCACACCCACCCACTCTGGGATTCAGCACCAGGGCAACAGCTGAAAGGGTGCCAGTCACATATGGGGAGTGGGTGAGTGGAAATGGGGTGAGTGCCAGGCAAACCCCCGGAAGCCAAGGCAGCCAGGCAGCGGCACTGTCCCCTCTCGAAGCCCTCCCCAAATACAAAGGCACAAAGCGCTCCACCCTGGTGATTACCTAAGGCTCCACCCCACACAACTTACAGGTTCTTTTTACAGGGAGTCAAAGCAGCTCTACTGAATACACAGAAACAAACACAAGGAGGCTGCCAAATTGAGGAGACAAAGAAATATAGCCCAAATGAATGAAGAGAACAAAACTCCATAAAAAGAACTGAACAAAATGGAGATAGTCAACCTATCATATGCAGAGTTCAAAACACTGGTGATCAGGATGCTCAAAGAACTCATTGAGTACGGCAACAATATAAAGGAAGAAATGAAAGTTACAGTAATTGAAATAAATAAAAATCTACTGGGAACCAACAGTGAAGGGAGGGAAGCTGGGGTTGAAATAAATGATTTGGAACATAAGGAAAAAATAAACATTCAACCAGAACAGAAAGAAGAAACAAGAATTAAAAAAAAAAAAAAACAAAAAACAAGGTCAGTGTAAGACTCTGGGATATCACCAAACATCCAAATCATGGGGATGCCAGAAGGAAAAGAGGGAAGCAAGAAATTGAAAACTTATTTGAAAAAATAATGAAAGAAGAGTCCCAAACAAGCTGGACCATACCGAGACACATAATTGAAATGCCAAAGGTTAAAGACAAAGAGAGAATCTTAAAAGCAGCAAGAGAAAAGCAGAGAGCCCAGGCTGGTGTGGCTCAGTGGATTGGGCACCAGCCTGCGAACTGGAGGGTGGCCAGTTTGATTCCCAGCCTAGGGCACACACCTGAGTTGCGGGCCAGGTCCCCAATGGGGGGTGTGCGAGAAGCAACCACACATTAATGTTTCTCTCCCTCTCTTTCTCCCTCCTTTCCCTTCTCTAGAAATAAATAAATAAAATCTTAAGGAAGAAAAAAAAAAAAGCAGAGAGTTCCCTACAAAGGAGTTCCCATAACAAGGCTATCAGCTGATTTCTCAAAAGAAACTTTGCAGGCAAGAAGGGACTGACAAGAAGTATTCAAAGTGATGAAAAGCAAGGACGTACAACCAAGATTACTCTATCCAGCAAAGCTATAATTTAGAATGGAAAGGCAGATAAAGTGCTTCTCAGACAACGTAAAGCTAAAGGAGTTCATCATCACCAAGCCATCATTACATGAAATGTTAATGGGTTTTATTTAAGAAAAAAGATAAAAACTATGAATATTATAAAGGCAACACACTGACAACTATCAACAATTAAATCTAAAAAACAAACTAAGCAAACAGGCAGGGCAGGAACAGAATCATAGACAAGGAGATCATCTGGAGGGTTATCAACTGGGAGGGGGAAGGGAGACAAAGGGGGAAAAGGTGCAGGGATTAAAAAGCATAATTGGTAGGTACAAAATAGACAGGGGGTGTTAAGAATAGTATAGGAAATGGAGAAGCCAAAGAACTTATATTCATGAGCCATGGACATGAACTAAGTGGCAGAATGCTGAATGGAAGGTGGGTACCGGGCAATGGGGGTGGGCCAAGGAGGAGTAATTTGGACAATTGCAATAACATAATCAGTAAAATATACTTAAAAAAAAAAACTGCTGCAATTGAGTAGGCAAAGAAAGAAGAACCAGAAACTCACAAGTGAATACCATATTTCATCAATTTCAAGATGCGAATTTTAATATTTCTGCAATTGGGGAGCATTTTACAATAATACCGTCTTACAACTGCTGTCAGCCAGGTGATGGTCATTACAGCTGGCACTGCGCGCGCGCACACACACACACACACACTCACTCACTCTCAAAGCGGTCACAGCTCTTTGTGCTGTCACTGTGTGAATGAACGTATGTGCACTGTTGGTTTTACACATAGAGGAAAAACTGTTGTGTACGCAGAAAAATAAAAAGAGTAGCAGGGTATAAAATTGTTATTAGTGAGGCAAACATTCATTATTGAAGAAATGACCACAATTCCATTTTTTTTTTCTCAAAGCAAAAATCTAATGAGAAAAGAAAATAACCACAGAGGAGACAAAGCTGTGTTACAGTTGATGTAAGTAGGAAATACTGCATTTCACAGGTCAAGTAATTCAGCTGAAAACAGGAATGACACAGAAGGTAAAATCAAGTCTAACTAAGTTTAAAGAAGGTATTTCAGTAAGTATAAAACAAAAATATTAAGTGGTAACAAATGTTCTGTGTAGCCCAAGAGTTGTATGAAAGAAGAGAACGTATAAATCAAGAGTTGATAAACTCTTGGTGGTATATAAATCAAGAGTTGTTTTAATTATACAATTGACGTCACCTTTGATTTGATGAATTCAGTAATAACATAATTTAATACATAAAAAGAGAGTAGACAATAGCATTTAAAGACTAATAACTATTACTAGCATCAAATAAATTCAAAATAAAAATAAAATTAAAGCATAAATTCAGGAAATCTAAGAGAAGTTTAATCCCAGCCAAATAACTGAAGTAAAACACAATTAGAAGCTTAAGTCAAAATACACAAATTCATAGAACAACAAAAAAAGAAGCTGTTTCCCAGCCTCTGTGATTCTTTTTGGCACAAAACTTGAGGTCTTCTTTCATTGTCCGTTATTTAATTCAAACAGTGACTGAGCAACTACCAGTACACACCAGGGTGGCAGACATCTGTTCTAAGCTTTCCCTCTAGTACCAGTGTGGATCTTAGATAGGAAGAAGCCTACCTCTAAGTTACCTAGTATCACCTGGTTCTAGTTCTAGGCTTGGGTCTTATTCTGCCAAGCGAATGCCTCATAGCCCAGCAACATTTCTGGTCCTGTGCCAGGAACTCCAAAGAGAGCTGCCCATGGCCGCGGCCCTGCCTCGCTCTTGGTTGTCCCTCACTTAGCTCCCCTGAGGAGTGAGAGCTCCTATATCCTAGAGGCTTTCTAATGCTGACTGTTCATTTACCTACACTATTACAAACACTATTCACACCCAGCCTTTTCACTACCTCATTCTACTTACATGCCAGGACAATGATGCACTAACTTACCACTTGTTGTATGGTCTCCTACAACATGTTCTATCTGCCAGTTTAGACTTCCTGCAGCATAAGACTCCTCTACTGGTGGTGTCCTACCCAGCGACCAAGTCTAGTTTTGTCTGAAGCTCAAACTCCCCCAGCTATGTGCCAAACCATTCATTTATTCAACAACTACTAAATGAGCATCTTTGTTCTAAGTACTGGGGATAAAGCAGTGCCTTTGTGATGTTTACATTCTAGTAGAAAGATACAGACAATAAACAAACAAATATAATGTTAGACAGATATTTTTTAACGTTAGGAAAAAACAGAGTATTTGAATAAAACATGACAAGATAAGAGGGGAGGTGAATGCCTTCTCTGATGAAGTGACATTTGATCAAAAACCTGAATGAAATGAAAAAATGATGCATGTATAAATCTGGGAGAACATTCTAGGAAAGGAAGAAACATGTGCAAAGCCCCTGGGGTGGGGACATACTTAGAGTGTTTAAGAAACAGAAGGCAGTGTTGCTGCAACTCAGGAAGTGAGGAGAGGGTGTTAGATGAAGCTAGAGAGGTTGAAAGGGCCAGTGGCTCATAAAGCATAGTAGGAATTTTGGATATGATTCTCAATGTGACGAAAAGCCATTGGAAAGTTTTGATCACGGGACTAAAGTGATCAGGTATATATTCTGCTCTAAAGGCTACATTATATATAATTCCATTTATAAGACCTTCTGGAAAATGTAAAATTATAGGAACAGAAATAGATTGGTGGAGATAGAGAAAAGGTTTGACTACAAAGGGGTAGAACGAGAATTTTGAGGGACAATGGAACTGTTCTATTTCTCAATTATGGAGGTGGTTATATGACTGTATGCATTGTCAAAACTCACAGAACTGTACATCAAAAAGAGTGAATTTTAATGTATGTAAATTCAAAGAAAGTGGAATACACACAACCCTGTGTGGCTGCTATGTGAACAGTATACCTGGATGTGGGGTGGGGGTGGGCAAGGCAAGAAGAAGGGAGACCAATCAGGAGGCTATTACAACAATCCAGGCAAAGATGACGGTAGCTAAGGTTACGATGGCAGCAATAAAGTTGATAAAGTGTGTTTGGATTCAAGACGTAGTTTGAAAATAGAGTCAAGAGTTTTGCAGTTCTGCAACCTAGTGTAAGTCACAGTGGGCGACTGATAACAGTGTGCAAGAAGTCTTACTTGCTCAGCTTTTTAGTACATACACCTTGCACAATACCTTGCAAATACCGGAAGAACTCATTTAGCGTCTGGTGGATGAAAATAATAAAAATGCATTTATTTTAAATGATTACATAACTCAGTTCACTAATTCAGACTTGTCTCTCCACTAAATTATTCTGAATTAATCAGAGATTATGATACTAACATTAGCAAAAGCAATGATTAAATTCAGCAGAATTACAGAAAGATTTGGCTTTCGGCCAAAATTTTATGAAATATCCAAGACATTCACAAAACTGTATATAAAACAACAAAAATCTAGAGAAATAAGGCAAAAAGGAGTTTGGGAAATCTGCTATGATTAAGAAAATATAACAAGGAGAAGAGAGGTATAGAATAGGGTACAGAGGTATAGAATAGCTATGATTAAGAGAATGTAACAAGGAGAAGAGAGGTATAGAAGAGAGGATAGATAATAAAATAACCATATTTAAGTAACTATTAAAAGTGTTTTTGTTGTTTATAAATGAGGGTATGAAATTGATTCAGTGGGTCATGACCAACATTTTACTTTCAGTAAGATAGAACAAACTAGAAAATATCAGGTCCTAAAAGCATTGTTTCATAAAACTTGTTTTAGTGATTTATATAAATACATAGTTTGCACTAAGTCATAAAGTAATTCTGACTGTGGACAGCTATCAAACGTTTGAAAACCGCCGCTGCAGAAAATCTGAACTTACCATTTTTTTGGCATGTTCTTCACACAGAGGTGTCTGGTGCGTGATGTCAAAAACAGGCACAGAGCACTGCTGTCCATCTGCAAACTTGGCCGTGCAACTTGAGAAGAGCTGCTGAGAGCGGTTCAAGAGGATATCTGGGGGTTTTTTTAAGTTAAGAATATAACACACTGAAACTCTTAATTCTTCGATTTTTATATATGTAAAGTTTTCTTCTTTCCTTACTTGTGTTTAATAAGCATAAATTTTATTATATATAAAAGCTAAAGAACCAATCCAACTACTGCTAAGAGAAACTGATGATAGTTTTATCATCATTTTTTATTAGAGGATATATCTGAAGGAGTCTATTTTGTTACTGTGCACCTAAACACAGGACTCCTTTAAGGTCATTCTGATTTCTGTTATTTGTAGAATCAGGGTCATTTCCTTCTTAATACACTGACTCTTACAAGTTCCAATATAATGGTTTAAAAAAAAAAAAGAAACTTTCTTTTAAGGAAAACTTCTGTATATGATATTCATCATGAAAAAACGCCAGCCCTGGTGGGTGTGGCTCGGTTGGCTGAAGCATCGTTCTGTGCGCTGCGAGGTAGAGGCTTAGATTCCCAGCCAAGGCACACACCTGGGTTGCGAGCTGGGACCCGGTGGGGGCGCGTGTAGGACTGGCAACCCATTAATGTTTCTCTCTCACATCAATGTTTTTCTCTTTCTTATTCTCTCCCCTCCTCTCCCCGCTTTCCTCTCGGTCTAAAATCAGTAAATGTATCCTTGGGCAAGGATTTTTTTAAAAAAAAGAATAAAAACACCTGAAACTAACATAAAATAGTATTTAAATTGTAACTGAAAAAACATAAAGATTACAACATAATTAGTTGGCAAGAAAAGAATAAAAATATAAAGACAGAATTCTAAAAAAACTAATTGACCCAAATTTGGATTTTTCATTACACATTTCCAACACCAAACCCAAACTTAAAAAAAATCATTTTAAATCAAAATTATACTATTAAAATTAGAACATCAGCTTTACATCATTGACATTTCAAGCATCCATATTTTTAGCCATCAACTACATTTCTCCAAAATTCACTTTATATCTATTAAGGAAGTTATCTTCCAGTTTTTCCTTTTATGTTTTCATAGTTAAGATTCTTCATAAAGCCTTTATGGCATAGAAAATGCTGCTAAAAAAGTTGTGAAAATATAACTCCAATACAATAAAAAGGAAGGCAAAAGTCAAACAGATAGCACAGTGACTGTTACTATGTAAATGTTTTAAATGTTACTCAATTTTAAATGTTTAATAAAAGTGAGAGCAGTACGACTTCAGCTACAGCCTGAAGCCCTTAATATAAGTTTTCCTCAAGTATTGTATTTTCTGTCTGAAGATAACTTCTTTCGTAGTCAGTGATGTTTATCTTTTATTCACTTCACATCAGTGCTGTACTCAAGACAAATAGCAAATTATTCCCACAGCAAAAGGCACACTGTAAAACTGCATAACTTTCTTAGAAAACGAAAAACAATTACTGAATAATATGACTTGATTTTTCCATCAATTACTATTATAGTTTCTTCTTACAAACTATCTAGAACCACTGCAGGGACTGAAATTCTGTTAACAAAATTGAATTAAATGACAGCTCTGGAAGAGCCTGCTAGTGGCTGTCAATTTTGCTTATAGTGAGGTGATTCTTGAATAAAGAACCGCAATGACATAAGCAAAAAAAAATTATTCAGAGGGCATTATGGAAATTAGAAGTTATATAAAAATTAAAGTCATTCACTTAAGCTTAAGAATGAAATACATAGCCCTGAATGAGTCAAGACTTTTGAATGCACACTCAATGTAGTTAACAGGATACGTTGGAAACAATGCCTGGTGAATGGAAGGGCTTTGTTAGTGCACGGTTCACCCTTCACTGTTCCACTGCATGCTGCTGGTTCCACCTCCCTCAACTTGGTCCGGCTTATGCTAAGAAAAGAAAAAAACAAAACAAAACAAAAATAATTTTAAAAAAAATGCTTAAAGAATGCAGGGGAATTTTTCAACACTCAGTAACTACAATGTAACGCCAACATGTTACCTCTCTATGTTCATTAAATAAAATGTAAATACGGACTACAATGACCAGTTCAACGGTTTCCCCAAACTGCTTTCAAAAAATAATTATAATCAGTTTCAACTATGCCTTTTTTAAAAAATTAAGGTGATAATTTGATTCCTTTTACATCACAAAGAGACAAAGAAAAGTGATGAAGAACAGGAGACTAGCTGTGTGACCTTGGCAAGTTACTTAGCATTGCTTAAGTCTCAACTTCCTCACCTGTACAGTAAAGATAAGAGATAAGAAAAGAGAACACATTTTAAAGACTTAAATACAGAGCACAGGTAATAGGGGGACCTATCGTAGTCAAGGGAATCCAAGAATATTTCTCTGAGGAAGGTAAGTCTCTGAATAAGAAAACTAAGACTTAAAGAATGTTCTAGGACACTGCTTCCCCAATAGAGGATTGGGAGCCCTATGAGTAAGGGAAGTTAGGGAAAAAATGGTAGACACAGTTATTATGCAGGTGTATCAGATACACATACATAGTTTCAAATAGCTCTATATAAGCCAAAAGGCGGAAAATTCTTAAAGGCACAGTATCTTTTTGAGATAAGCAATTGAAAAATAAGTTACTTTTTTACAGCAAATATAATAACAACCAAAATACACAAAACAAAATGAAATTACAAAAAAAAGGTATGTAAGAAATACAATCAATAGCTACAAAGCAAAGGCTATATTTTAGTTTCCTGCTTGTTTTAAAACAAGAAACTGTTTTCCCCACAAGAAATTCATGATCTCTACAGAAAAATGAAAATTTATAGATAAATTTTCTTAACTTTAATAACCCAACTATCTACAGATAGCCATTTCTAATATTTAGATGTATAAACTCCTAAAATGTTACAAACTATATATTCGAGCTTATCCAAAAATAAGTAAAAAGTGTGAAATAATAAACTCAATAAAGAACTAATTTTCTAAATATTGAAAATTATTTCCGTAGTTATATAAGTTGTTTTAGAAATTTTTAATGCAGTTATACTAGTACTTTCAAAAGGTACATAACCTAAGTAATTACAATTTAAGTTTTCACCACCTAGATAAACTTCTAAAATGGTAACATACCATAATTTCTTCATTGAAAATTCAGATAATGCTGCATTTCCAATAAATGGATTTTTCATTCAATAAAGTATTATGTAAACATTATAAATCATGTTTTCGAAAAAACCTTTAAGAACACAGGGGAATGCTTATAATATATTTTTAAGGGAAAAAAAAGCTGGACACATGACTTAAAACATTAAAGATCAAATTTTGCTTAAACAAATATAAAAAAGAAGTGTAAGACTGACATATTATGAAACTATTAAAATTCAGTGTTAAATGGAAAAAAGCAGAAAACAAAAAATACTGCATGATTTCAACTTTGCTTTTTCATGCACACTGCAGATTTCACACACATATATACACACAAAGAAAAAGACTAGAAGGAAATAGATCAAAATAAAATGTTCATAATATTCTCTCTGATTTGTGAATGGTGATATTATTTAGAGATTTTCCCCCTTCTTTTTTCTGTATTTTTCAAATTTTTCATAATAAGCCAAGTATCTGCACTGTAAACAGAGGGATTCCCTCCAAAGAAATCCAGTGTTATAAAATATTTTGAACTGATAATATGGGGGATAATGTAGATATTAGCAGAAAATGCATTTCATCCCTGGCTGATGTGACTCAATAGATTGTGTCAGCCTGTGAACCAAAGGGTTGCAGGTTCGATTCCCAGTCAGAGCACATGCTGGGGTTGCGGGCCCGATCCCCCAGTAGGGGGCATGTGAGAGGCAACCACACAATGATGTTTTTCTCCCTCTCTCCCTCCTTTACCCTCTCTAAAAATAAATAAATAAAATCTTTTTAAAAAATTTTCAAGAACGCTTTAATTAAAAAAATGTAAAATGCTGCTTCTGTAGTTAAAAAACCATAAATAGTACTTTTAAATAACACAAAATTTCTAGGCATTATATATATTTTAAAGACAAATAACATTCTCAAATTCTTCATTGAATAAATTTTAATCAAACTTTACTAAAATTATAGTAATGCTTTAATTTTAATGTCGACTCATGGCAGTATTATTTTGCCATCCATGTAGAACTTTATCTGAGCAACAAAATCAAAATACAATGTATAAATATTTCAGACTTAAATGCCCACCACCCATTGTGCCTCAAGTACCCTCTCAAAAAGTACAGAAAACAGATGAGACAGGTTCCTTAGAAACAGGTGGCTGCGTACGGCTCTGACCTGGTTCGACTGCACGCAGCTCTCTGCAGCTCTTGTAGTAACTGACCAGTACACTCTGGTTCTCTACTGGCCGCCTGCAGCAAGGCCTTCCTAAACGTGTGCCGGCATTTCTTTTGACGGGATTCTGCCCGCTCCAGGCGGCAGAGGTGCTTATATTTCTGCTGAAAGTAAGTGCAAAGTTGGGTCACCCTGGAGCTCCTACTCTCCGTATCATCATCATCCGACCTGGAAGGTGCAAAGAGAGAAGTGAAAAACTGATCACTTGTTAGGCTACTTTTTGAAAGGGGAAACAGGGGGAGGAAGGTGGCTGGACGCAGAGGGTTAAAACTTGTGGCATGTGAGCACATACTCAACAAAATTAGAGGAACAGCATTCCAGTAGTGCTGAAAACAAGTACAATATTTCAACAATAAGGCAGGCAGTGGAGGCAACCCAATGCTTTAAGAAGCCTCACCTTCTTAGCATATCATAATTAAACAACGTATCAATGTCTTCTAAGTTTTAAGTAATTAGGAATTCTTGGGAAGAATGTATATTTTTTACATTTACTTACTAAAAAGTCTGAGTAAATGACATGGAATTTATGAGGAAACACTGAATATAATTTCATAAAAGATAGGCCATACGAGAAACATAGCAGTAAATTCTAACACTGCATTATCAAAGAGTTGCCATTTTATACGTACTGGTTTTTAACTACGTTTTTCTTGCTAAACACAAAACATTTTGATGGTATGGATCATAATCATTCTATGTTATTTTTTTAAGTACAGGAGATATCCTAAACAACACTTCATTCACCATGGTTTCTTCCGTCATCACGCTAATGCCAGCTGATTGGCGGGCCTACTGGAGTGCCGTGATGAAAGGGGTGCAGAGGGCACACGGGCGCTCAGCAGGAAACAGTGTGGGCGCTGGTTAGCAAGTCTACTGCCAGTGAGGTTAGAAAGGTCGCTTCTGTATTCTCGTACTCTTTACTGTTAAGAATAATGCACACTAGACTTGACAACCAACCGTGTTATTGTACCTTCTTTCTCTTTTATTGTCACATAAATAGCACCCATGTGACACTATAAATATTATCTTACTAATCTTCTGTAAATCATGGCTTCATTTCTCTTAAGTGGCACCCCTCCTTTTTCCTTCAGAGTAGTTGATTAACAGGCTGTCTGTCAACCTCTGTTTAGTATATGTCCTAAGAAACATGTTCTCAGTATACATTCTCTGCAGATACACTAACTGAAAGATTTTACTTCAGTATTTTCATATATGCAACATTCAACAGTCACTGTCCGTCTATTATGCTAAATACTATAGAGGAGAAACAAAATATTTCAAGGAGTTTGCAATGTAAATTAGACAAGATAACTGCATCCCAAAAGTTAAACAATTCAAGAAGACAGACTCAGTAACTGAAACAGTGGGGCAGTCAGACCCATGATTCAAACATCTGACCTCAGCTTCAAAAAGTCTGGGAGCTCCTTAAAATTTCAGATTCCCAAGACCCACCTCAGAGCTAAGCCAGAGTCCCTACGGGATGGGGCCCAGGTCCTTCACTCTGAATTATTCCCCCGTGTCCCACAGCAGGTCTTTATTTGGTAGCTCTAGTAGAGCCGTAAGTGTTATAAAAACCTTAAATGCAAATAGAAAATACTAAGTACCACAGGAGAGGCACAGATAAAGTGCTATCAAAGTTCATTAGAAAGACTGCTGGATGAAAGAACTAAGTGTAAAGAAAGGGCAGAATTTGAAGAAAAGACACAAAGGGCACCTCACAATGATAAAACAACATAAGCCGAGATACCAAGATGGCCAAGATGGGGGACGGCAAGTACTAAGCGGCTCGGCTTGGTTACGGAGTGGGGTATGTATGGCAGCGATGGTAGGTAAGGTAAACTCAGCAACTTCGAATCTGCATCACTAGGAGAATAGAAGTGCCAGTAACAGAAAAAAGAAAGAAGAGAAACAGCAAGTAAAGAAAGTAAAGCTAGGATGGGTGATCCTTGCCAAAGTTGTTATTTGAAAAGACTATCACTACAGAGAGGAATGGACTAGATCAGTGGTTCTCAAATTAACTATGGAAAGATGCCCCTGGATACCACATCATCACATAAGTTTTCAAAGCTTATTCATAATTTTTCTATTTAGCTTACTGTGGGCCAGTAACGAGCAGTTTGCACAGGCTCACAGACCATCCCTGGCGTGATCCTAAACTAGAAAAACTCCGAATGCCTCCCACTTCTAAGATGCTATGGCGTTAACGTTACAGAGCCAGTTTTGCTAAGGAGGGTAGCAAACCAGGCAGATAAAGGCCAGTTACCGGCAGGGCCAGGCCTGGCCCCGACCGCATTTCCAAGTGTGTTCGTCTCCGTCCTTCTGTGAGATGAGGCTATAGCTAGCTGGCTTGCCTACCCCTGAGGTTAAGGAAATGAAAAAACATGACATATGTAAAATCACAATGTAAGTACAGGTATCACTATTAAAATGCTAATAGTAACTCCAAATACAGAGCAGTAAATTCCAAACCTGATTTCCTGAGGGTTCAGGCTTGTCTGTAATCGTAAAGCATGACATTAAATTCCCCAAATAAATTTCATTTTACTTTATCTTTTTAAAACAACATGAGCAAAAAGGTAACACCTCTGATAAAAACAGGGGAGTCAGAAAAAGGGAAAGAATGCTTTCCCTCACGCATGCTGAGGGAAAGGAGTTCAATTATGCTGACTTTAGGGTGTGGCAGAATAGTTGATGATAAATATCTGACAGGCAGTTCCAACTCAAAAGAAAGGTCAGACATGAGAAAAAGATTTTCAAGTTATTCACATACAGATAACAGTTGAAATAAAAAAAGCAATAAAAGGCCACTGGCAACATGGCAACTTACGCACTCTAAGGAACCCAAAACAACTACATACAAGGTAAGATATATTTATGGACGCATTTTTTGGTCTCAAAGAAAGTAGAGGAAATCTCTTCCCAAACTCCTTGGTCAAAAAACAAACAGCCCTGGCCCGCGTGGCACAGCTGGTTGGAACTCCTTTCCATAAACGGAAAGATTGCGGGTTAGATTTCTAGGCTGCAGTTCCACCTCCAGGCAGGGAATGTACAGGAGGCAACCGCTCTCTCACATTGATGTTTCTCTTCCTCCCTCTAAAATCGATAGGCACGTCCTCAGATGAAGATAAAAAAAATTAAGCAAACAAATATTTTCTTCAAAATCAGAACTAAAGCTACAGTGGGAAGCAGGAACAAAGATAACAGGCTGCGCTCAGGGCACATGAATAGGAGCACTGAATGGCTACAGAACCTTAGCCCAGCAAGACGAAGTATCTCAACCTAAGGTTCTAAAGTCTAGGACCTACAAAACCTAAATTATCATGCACAGGAGAGGGTAAGCTACTTTTCGTGACAAGAGGGAAAATGGCAGAAACAGACTTAGGGAGCTGCCAAGCCCTGTTTGGGCACCCGCTCTCCCAGAAACTCCATCAGTGCACCTACCCAAAGCTCTCTGAACCTCATGCTACTGAGATTTTACAGAAGTTTCGTCAGGCAGACGTGATCTAGTATTAACTCCATTTCCAGCCCCTCTCCCGTCTCTAGGGGATGACGTTCAGCTAAAAATTCTCAGCCTCTAATAGGCGTTTGGTCTTTCTGGTGGACCAGGACCCAATCAGGAGCCACCCAAGAGCCCACCTGGAGTCACCTCCTAAGAACAAAAGATGATCCCTGTGCTCTTGTCACTTACTAAATTATGAGGGTTTGAGGAGCTCTGTGTTAGGAACTGGGTACAGAGGCCAATACTATTTTCCTTTATCTCACAATGAAGCTTAGAAATTTATAGCTGTAATGACTTATATTTTAAAAAAAGGAAGATACCAAATCAATAACCTAACATTCCACATTAAGAAACGAGAGGAAAACTAAACATAAAACAAGCAGAAGAAAATAATAAAGACTATAAAAGAAATAAATAAAAAAATAGGAAAAGTATGAGAGAAAAATCAATGAAACCAGAAACATTGGTTTTTTGAAATGATCAACAAAATTAACAAGACTTAGAACGCAATTAACCAAAAGCAAAAGACTCAAATTAACAAAATTAGAAATGGAAAAAGGGCATTACCACTTATCGTAAAGAAAAAAAAAAGATTATAAGGTACTATTACAAAAAAAGTATGCCAATTAAATTATATAATGTTGAAATGGACAAGTTTCTAGAGCAACACAAGCTTTGAGTCTCAGTACATATGAGAAAATCCAAGTAAATTGACCATACCAAAATTACAACTGAACTACAAAACAACCATCATTTAGAGCCACCTGAAATCTGGCTGAATGGAAGTCCTAGAACTAAGGATATAAAAAGCCACATAAAGACTGGTAGGAGAAACGAAGACGCTGCAAAGTGGTCCCAAACCCACATGTGGCAGATAAAAATCAGGTAGGATATTTCGGCTTTGGAGGTCCCTCCGCCTCAGGAGCCGGAGGTCCCAGCCCCACACAGGGCTCCCTAGCCCAGCCAGGATTTCAATGCCAGGAAGAGAAGGGCCCATAACTTCTGGCTGTAAAAATCAGCGGGGACGGTGGCTGAGTGAGACAGAGGGCTTCTGATGTCCCAGGCAGTTCCTCTTAAAGGGCCCATGCACAAATGTATTCCAATTCACTCCCTCTGAGCTCCAGCACTGGGGCAGTGGCTTGAAAGGTACAAGAGACACACAGGAAGGAACTTACCATATTTTGCCATGTATAATGCACACTTCTTGCCCAAATTTTTGAGGGAAAAATAAGGATATGCATTATACATGGGTATAATGATTATATACCATGGGTATAATAATCCCATGTATAATGCACACCCACGTTACGGTACATTATACATGACAAAACACAGTGTGTGTCTTGCATTAGGGCAAGAGATGGGGGCCGGACAAAAGTGCTGGCAGAGGCCACTGTTCCTCTTCTGATCCCTCTCCCCTCATATCAGCAGGTGGATGCCACACTTGAGTCTCCATCAACCTCGCTATCACTGTTCATACTCCCCCACCCTCTGCCTTCTATTGAGGTTCCCTGAAACCCCATCCAATTTTTGGGCCCACCCAAGTTGCAGTGGCTTTCCCATACTAACAGCTTTCATGGCTTATGCTTCAGAGTTTACTAAAATCTCTCAAACAAGCAGCATCTAGCCTCATATCTCTCATTATGTGGCCCAAGGCATGGCACTGGTA